TTGCAATAATTTCTGTCACCTTATCAGGAACCTGAACAGTAACCCTGCTCCTTAACTTCTCTATAGAATGGAGGAAAGTCTTTCTACCTGGGTTAGGAAATGGATTTTCACGGTTCTGATTTGTTTGTTTGTTTTAATTTCTTTCTTAAGAATAGCTTAATATGGAGCAGCTAGGTGACTCAGTGGGTAGAGCTCCAGCCTTGGAGTCAGGAGGACCTGAGTTCAAATCTGACCTCAGACACTTACTAGCTGTGATCCTGGGCAGGTCACTTAGCCTCTGTCTGCCTCAGTTTCCTCACCTGTAAAATGAGCTGGAGAAGGAAATGGTAAGTCACTCCAGGATCTTTACCAAGAAAATTCCAAATAAAGTTGTAAACAACTGAACAACCATAAACTATCAGTCACAGATTGCCTGCATGCATTTATGAAGTAAAAAGTCCCTTTAAAAGCACACTCAACAGAACCAAAATCATGGGTGAGGGAAGATCCACCAACATCTGACTGTCTCAGGATACAAACTGACCCCTGTAACTCAGCCAAGGCTGCTAAATAAATGGCTGGTCTGACTTCAGTGTAGCTAAACTCTAGGGGCAAGACACCACATCATGAAGTTTTGGCACCACATATCAGCTTTGCAGCCACAGCAGATCACAGAGGCCATGACGTGTGAGGCAGCCTACCTTGTGGCCCTATATAGTGAGAAAGCAAATGGGAAGATGAAGATAACTTCTGCCTGTGTGGTACTACAGGATTTGATATCATTATTCATGGAACAGCAGTGCTGAAAGGTGCTTTGGAGATTTTCTAGTCTAAGCCTCTCCATTTTACAAATTTTACAAATGAGGACACCGAGGACCAGCGACGAAGTGACTTATTCAAAGTTGGCCAGTTAGTGAAAATGGGCCTAGAACTTGGGCTGTGACTCCTAAGCCAATAAACAATCTTTCCAGTAGATCATCTTGTGTGCCAAGCATTTGCCCCACTCTTGGATTTCAACTGACAAACTAAAACATTAGAAATTAGAGAGGACCTTACGTATCTAGAACAAAGCCATACTTCACTTTTCTCTACTAACAAGTCATTTAATATAATGTGGCATTTGGAGCAGCTAGGTGGCACAATGGATAGAGTGCCAAGCCTATAGTCAAGAAGACTCATTTCCCTGAGTGACAATCTAGCCTCAGACACTTATTCGTTGTGTGACCCTGAGCAAGTCATTTAACCCTGTTTGCCTCAGTTTCTTCACCTGTAAAATGAGCTGGAGAAGGGAATGGCAAACCACTTCAGTATCTCTGCCAAGAAAACCCCAAATGGGATCACAAAGAGTCAGACATGACTGAAACAACTAAACAACAAAACTGTCATTTAGAAAAAGTCACCAAATTGGAAAAGAAAATTCCAAAAATAAAGGCCATGGAAATTTCAGGGTGGGAGAATATTACCTATACCATGAAGGGTTTCTGAAGTTACCTACACACCAAATCTAAAATCTACAACCCATGTTCATTTTTTTCTATCTCCCCATGATTTATTTACTGTCCCAATTTTATGCCCTACCATATTCCATTCTGGAATATTAGCACTAACTTCATGTAATATAACTTTTCTCCCAAATGTCCCCAGGTATCTCTGCTCTATCCTATCTCTGAGGTTTAACCTTCAACAATGTGAAACCAACCTTTAGGCAAACTGAATGTAGAAGACAAAAACTCTACTCATACATATTCTAATGATCTGAGAATGAATTGTGCTTCTTAGATCAGTGCAAATCTGAACTTAAATAATTTAAATTAACCATGATAAATGCATAAACTACATACCAAGGGCAGGAGTAATCTCCTGTTAAAAATGCCTGTGTATAGCATTTTACACACTCGCCCTTACTACCTCTTCAGTGATCCCTGTTGCTGTTTTGCCACATCTTAAGCAGAAACATTTCCTGGACTGGACATTCTAGCCATTTCAGAGTAGTTCCAGCTGCTAAACTTCATCACATAAATGTTTCTTCAGCCTCTCAACCCCAAAATAGCCATGTAGCTGAGAACCAACAGAGAAGAAGCTTATAACAAATTGGTTTTTTGCTGCTGGTCTGGACTGGGCTTTGTTGGGGTTGGAAACTCTCAGTGTGACTGACCCTATACCAAAGCAGATGGGCTAGTATCCTAGAACCTATGCCCCTAAGGTGTTGTTGGGGACATTGAGAGGTTAAGAGGCATGCCAAGTATCACACAGTCAGTAGGTTTTAGAGATGACATTTGAAGCCAGGTCTTCTTCACTCTGAGGCTGGTTCTCCAGCCACTCTTCTAACCTGCCTCTCATGTTAAGAGCATGGGGACTTAAAAATAAAAAGTGTGCCAACAGACAACATGGAGCCAAGTCTAATTTTCAAGTATGTTTACATCCATAATTGCATAAATAAACTCTTGCATCTAAGTTAACGAACTGACCAGCTCTTGCTGGGAAATTAGATTTGGACTGTTCTAATCCTAACTTTGGCCTATAGTGTCCCATAATAATTTCTCATAGAGGCTAATGGAATGAACAGTTTTTGGTAGAGAAGGACACTACAACTTTTTATTCTCTAAAAAGATTATTCATAATGTCAATTATAATTATTTGTTACAAAATACAGGAGTTCTGGTGTGCACGCATATACGCACATCAGAGAACAGGGCTAGGAAAATAGGTAGATGAACAAGAGAGGTTATCTCTGGTTTCCTAGAGAAATAATGGTCAGTTGTTTATTTCCACTGATACTAGGGGGGAAAAACTACACTTCTGATACATTTGAAGACAATTTATGGCATGGAGAAAAATGTCATCTGCCTTTTTACATTGTAAGTTTGGAGTACTCATGGATAGTTTTTGCATATGTCAAACTTGTAACAAATGTATCTTTATAGTAAATATTACAAATGCTACCCTGCTATGTCCCCTCTCCAGATAGCACTCTCTTTCCCTAATAAGTAAGCCGTAAGGATCAGGAGAGGAAGGTCATATGAAGCTCTCTAGTTATCTGAGTGATCACTGAGGATTATTGACTTAGAACTGGAAGGGCCTTTATAAGTCATCTAGTCCAAGACCCTTAAATTTACAGGGAGAAAACTGAGGCCTAGAGGAGTTAAGTAACTTGCCCAAGGTCACATAGGCACAAGATCTTCAGCTTAAAACAATGTTTCCTCTCACCCATTCTGTAAAACACAAAGTCTGAGGTACAAAGAAATTGCATGTTCAGGAATTGCTATTCATGCAGCACTTGCATCTTCCCTTCACAGACGTTTCTATTCTCATTAAGTAAAGATCATCACTACTTCACCAACAAGTGTTTTAATGTATCAAAACAGAGACAATAACCTATCTGTAGCTTTCTATAAAAAGCTGTTCAGTTTTTCTTAGCATCTTACAAATAAACATAAAACTGGTCCTTGTATCAGCTTAGAACTTAAAAAATCAACACATGGCTCTTACTGAGCAGAACAAAGAAAGTAAACTGACAAGGAGGGTCCCCAGTTTATTTTAGGTTACTACACCCTGAAAATAGAGAGGGCTCACCTTTCAGTGCGTGAGTTTTCAGAAATGTTAGCAAATTCCACTGTGCCATTTTGTGGATTTGGATTGAGTTTTCCTTCCTCCTCCTCACCCACAAGAAATGGCTACAGGCATTTATTTCCATTTCAGTTTGCACTACGGCGTGCTGAACGAATAATGAAGGCAACAAAATCACAGCGGCTTCGGTCACTGAGCAGCAGAGCTTTCAAGCACAGGCAGGAGGACATGACATCTAAAGAAGGTTTTCAAGCAGCTCTGATTCTCTTATGGGAAACCTTGCAAGCCCATAACAGAATCACCCTGAGATATGTGTATATTCCCGCACATTCAAAAACCATGAGTGTATGTGCAATAAGCATACACTTGTGCACATATACACCCATATAAATACACTGATAAACATTTGGATCAAGGAAAGACAATATCTAGGCCATAATGTAAAGGCTATAGCCTACTTCAAATAAATGGCAAGCTTCTCCTTAAAATTCAAGGGTCTCCCTGGGCTGTTTTGCTAGCCCTCTTCAAGTCTTCAAACGACAGGAAGCAGTAAAAGATCTTTGAACAAACGCAGCGACAGACGCCCATCACTGGGCACAATCACATTGTGTGCAGACGCTCAAAAACTGAACTGTGTGCTGGACCTTTAGAGTCTATATTCCTGGGGGATACAGGTGCTGATAAGAGCCACAGGGTGCACGGCTGCACCCCTTCCTGCATTCTCTACCACTTCCCTCCTTCACCCCCTCTGCTTCCTTCTGTTCCTTTTTTTCCTGGGCTCTAAGGTGGTATAGTTCATTTGCAGAATCACTTTGTGCTGCCCAGTATTAAACTTTTCACAATGTGCCTCTGAAAAGCAGCACACCAAAAACAGGCTGGGAGTTGGAGGTAGGAGGGGAAGAGGAAGCGGTGAATGGCTGGTGGGGGGAGGAGTAGAACAGATGTACCATGGGAGAGTTGCCTCAGCCACACTTTACCCACCTCCAGCCCATGAGGCCCTAGAATCCCCAAGCTCCAGTGGCCAAGGGCTAACCTATGTTGCTTCTGTACTCAGGGGGTTGACAAAGTTATCTTTTCTCTAATGAACCTCTCTTGGGCAAACCAATCGTGGCTCATTTCATGGGACTTAATGATATCTCAATTCTGCTTGTGGAGTTGGACCACAGACTCATTTAAAGTATTTCTTTCCAAGTTTAGAAGTCTACATTTTCTTTTAAAAATTTATAGGAACAATTTTCTTCACCTTCATTCTAAAATGAGTAACACTCCTAAAAGACATTTTAATGGTACTTCCTCATATAGTTTCATCCTACAAACTCAGTGTCATTCCTCCAAAAAGAGTAAGACCAGAAAATGATACTATAACGAGTCTGATTTTGCAAATATCATCTATTCAACTGTTTAATGTATACATCAGACAAAATGTTGGTATTTTGGACCAAGTTAAGAATTACCTCTGGAACTCCTAATTTTCGGCATGCTTCCAGAAAGTTTTCCACATTTCTTCTGCATTTGGCCATGCTAAGTTTGGGCTGTAAACATAGAAATAATGGTTATTAAGAAGAAAAAATCCCTAATGTATGAAGAGCCAAATTTTATAGGCCAATTAAAACACTTCCCATCAAAGCCTATGACTTAATTATACAAGCTACATGAAAGTAAAGATCATTGAGAGTTATGTGAAATTATTTACTAAACCCAGAGTAAGTCAGAACTGGTTTGAGGGTTACATGTGACATGAAAACCAGGGAGAGTTCCAGGTAGGACACTTTCAGTTGTATCTGGAAAGTTTTAAATACCCTATTATTATGTTTTAATGCTATATTTCAGATTTAATGTTGTTCTTTTGAAAAAATATGACACTCTGCTAATTCCACTTTCTAAGATTCCAAACCAAACAACATACACACATCCCTATTTTGTATAAATATTTATATAAGGTACCAGTATCTTCATGTAAAGCAAGGAGCAGACCATGGAACAATTTAGTTTGCGGGGTTTAATAAAAATATTCCTCCAGAAGGAAGTATTCTGATAGGGCAGAGTCTTCCACAAAGCAGGCCCTTCAATGGGATTCTAAAAACTTGCTTTCTAGGTTCTGCTGCATGTCTTTATTCCACAAATGCGCAGTTGCTAAACGTGATTACAACATGACAAGAAGAGGAGTGTACTGGACTGCTGCCCAGCTGCTGAGTTTGATGCTGTGCTACTTGACCCTGTAAAAGACAAGCTCTGCCTACATACACAGAACGACAGGCCTAGAAGGGACCCCAGAGGTCACTGAGCCTAATCTGCCTCTGCTCAAGCATGCCCTCTTACACATCTCTGGCAAGGAGTCCTCTGGATTTTTTCTTCCTGGCTTCCAGGGAGGCAGAACCTTCTGCCTCCCAAGGCAGCCCATTCCATTGGGATACTTATAATTATTAGCTAGTTTCTCTTTTCTTCAGGCCTAAATAACTTCTTCCTGCAACTTTGTTCTTAGGGCATTTCTGCCCTTGGAGGCCAAGGAGAACATACCTAATCCTTCTTCCATGTAACAGACCCCAAATACTAGGAAGACTGTTATAACCAAAATGAACTCGAATCCCCTACTGTAGCTATGTGACCATGAGTTAAGTCCCTCAACACTCTGAACCTCAGTTTCCACATCTATAAAAGGGGTTCAAGTAAAATAAGACATCTAATGCATTTTGTAAACCTGAAAGCACCATTTGATTTTTTTTTTTTATTAAAAATGAGCTGGGCATGGTGGCACCTACCTATAATGCCTGCTACCAGGGAGGCTTGAGACTGGGAGTTTTGAGCTGTAATAGGCCTAAAGCTAATCAGGTGTCCACACTAAGTCTGGCACCAGTATGGCAAGTCCCTGGGAATGAAAGACCACCAGGCTAACTAAGAAGAAGTAAACCTATCCAAGCCAAAAATGGCACAGGTCACAGCTTTTATGATAATTAGCAATGAGATCATGCCTGTGAGTGGTTGCTGCACTTTCAGCCTAAGCAGGACAGGGAAAGATCTTGTCTTTCTCTTTAAAATAAAAAGGGGGAGGGGCAGGGAAGGAAAACATCAATGGAAAATGAGAGGAATAGATGACTTTTGAAAAAACTAAGATCCTTATGGGGCAGGTGGCACAGTGGATAGAGCACTGAGTCTGGAGTCAGGAAGATCTAAGTTCAAATCAAGCCTCAGACACTTACTATCCATGTCACCCTGGGCAAGTCACTTAACCTTGTTTGCCTCGGTTTCATCATCTGTAAAATGAGCTGGAGAAGGAAATGGCAAACCACTCCAGTATCTTTGCCAAGAAAACCCCAAATGGGGTCACCACGAGTCAGACATGACTGAACAACAACAGAAAATGCCACATTCATTTCAATTGAATTTACTGCTATGCATTAGTAGTGCTCTGAACCACACTGGCAAAGAAGGACGTTAAAAAAATATATACTATGTAATATTATTACTTTAAAGAAGTATTTCAAATGCGTTGCCTTAATGAAGTGGGGCTGCTACTGATATCACTATGACTGGGAATGAAGGAGGAGTAATTTTTGAAAAACATAATGTGTTGTGACCAAGATATAACGTGAACCTCATTTGTATTTTTAAATTATTATACTAGTAAGACAAATATTCTGTGAATAAAACTTAAAAAAAATTTAAACAAGAGAAAAAAATAAAGGAAAATGTGGAATAGTTCAGGGTTATGTAGTAAGCTTTGTTTTACTCAATATTTTAAGCAATAACTGGAAAGAAGGCATAGGTGGCATCATCAAATTTGTGGATGACATGAGACTGAAAAAAAGTAAATATGTCCCCAGCTTGTAAGTTCCACATGGGCAAGAATCAACTCTTTTCTAAATTCTGTATCTCTACCAGTGACTAGTTCAAGAACTATAATTAGGAATTCTTAGACACAAGAAAAGGGTTTTTTTTGTTGTTGCTGTTTTTTTTTTTCCAGTTTGTTTTGTTTTTGGTGGGAGGAAGGAAACCTGGTGGTGAGGCAGAGTATACAGTGGGCTGGAAACAGGTGAGATCTCAACTCCTCAGAGAAGATGGGTGAAGGTACATTGGAGAAGGGCCACTGTGGTGATAGTATTCTGAGAATGGTGGCCTAGGAATGGTCCATAGCAGGAATCAATGGAGGATTGCGAGGTGAGGCCTGGGGATCTCTGTGCATTTCCATATCACTTACAGCTAAAACCTCCTGTGGCTTCCCTAATGAAATGAGAACTCCTGGAAAGCAAGAGCCATCTTGCTCTGCTATTTGTATCCCTAGGGCTTAGTATACAGTTATTGATATAAAGCGGGTGCTTATAAATGCTTTTCCAATCCATTTTACTGTATTATTTATTAATGCTAATAACTACACGAAATGAAGTGGGGAAAAAATCTTGGCCATCAAATTTCTGCTGCTAAAACTTTGGTTTTAAGGTTTTCATGTAGCTATAAAACTGTAGCATGACATTTCTACCTGGACGTCCCATTAATACTGCAACTCAAAATATCCAAAATACAGCAGCCCTTCTCATTGTTCCTCATAAACACAGCCACTCTTCTCCAAATCTCCTTATTTTTGTTGAGTTAACCCAGTCCGGCGATATTAAAGACATTCACATCCCTTTCTTCTTCACCCCTCTTTATCCAGTCAGCTCCCAAGTTGTCATATCTATCACCACTGAAATCTTAGGTCTTTAGTGATTCCCTGTAATTTCCAGCACAAAGCATTAACGTAGTCTGACATTTCAGGCATTCCACAGTCTTAGCCTAATCTACCTTCTTGGTCTTTCTAGATTTCAAATCATTTCCCTTTAGGAACTCTGTTTTTCAGCTAAACTAGTCTACTAGCTAGCTAATTCCTGAACTTGCCATCATGTTCCTTGCTTGTATGCAGTTTTGCAGCCATCTTCCATGCCTAGAAACCACTTGCTCTTTATCTCCCTGCCTTCCCAAGTTCTTGTTTTCCTTTGAGGCTCAGGTTAGGTGTCACTGGGAAACCTTCCCTGATGTCCCTAGTTGTTAGCATTCCCTCTGTCCTCAAATTAACTCGTATTTACCTCTCTGTGTACATACTCTCATCTATCCAGTAGAATGTAAGTTCTCTGAGAACAGAGATTTGATCTTGGCCTTTGTATTCCTAGTGGCTTAGGCCAAGACCTTTATTACTTCACGCCTGAACTATTGTGCAAGTCTGCTAGCTGACTTCCCTGCTTCAAGCCTTTGCCAGCTATAGTCCATCTTCTACTCAGCTGCCAAAGTGATCTTCCTAAAAATGCAGGTCTGACCACATTACCCCTTCTGTTCAATAAATTCCGGAGGCTCCTGACAACCTCAAATATCAAACAAACCCTCTATTTGGCTTTTAAAGTCCCTTCCCACCCTTCCAGTCTTCTTACACTTTATTCCCCTCCAATTAAGTTACACTGGCCTCCCTGCTTATCCTCAGTCTCAGCTCTGGGCATTTTCTGTCCCACACCTAGAATGCTCCCTCTCCTCATCTCCACCTCCTGGCTTTCCTGGCTTCGAAGCTTCAAGTCTCAGCTAAGTCACTTTGGCAAGCAGTCTTTCCCAATCAATATGCCTTAACTGTGGTACCTCCTCTCTGAGACTAACCCCAATTTATCCTGTATAAATCCTGTTTAGGCATAGCGGTTTGTGTGTTTTCTCTCTCATTAGACTGTGAGCTCCTTAAGGGTAGAGACGCTTGCCTTTCTTTGTATACTTTGACTGTCTTGAATGTAGGAAGACCTTAAGAAATATGTATTTATTGACTACTGAATAGGGGCTAGAAAGTAATCAGAAATGTGGCCATGGCAAGTTCTACTAAATAATACAAAAGTGAACTTAATCTGGTTAAAATTTTATACTTACCACTGCTGGTGAGGGGACATGAATGCTTGCTACAGATCGAGGGCGGATATGATTAACTAGGTGACAGAGAACCACACCATCCATCAGAGCTGCTCCTAGGTCTTCATGTAAACTGACCTTTAGTCTCATCTCAATGCTCTGGTTAGGAAAAAAAGGGAAGTTATCATTAAGTTTCTTTAAAAAATTAAATCATTAAGGAGTCTGAAGGGAAAATACATAGAGTCCAGGTATGTAAGTGTTCATACAAAATTTTTTCTGAGGAAAAGCATGATAATGTTGGGAAAGTGTGTAAAAACATCCAAACTAATGAAAACTGCAAACACTAATCAAAATACTGCAATTCCTACTCAGGTTACTTTCAGAGTAAAAACTTGTGCAGGATCAAAAAAATTCTTTGAAGCATATGCAAACTAAAAGAAGTGATAATCCATCTTCATTGATATTTCCTCCAAAATCTGGCAATATGAATGGAATGAGCTAATAAAGTGAAGGAGCTAAATAGGTCCTCGTAGGTGGGGTTAGGTCCCTAGAAAGCTCAAGGGAACCAATAAAAGGGTTGTCAGATTACATTTTGGCTCAGCCATAATTATTGTTCATTTAAGTATGTAGGATTATCATTTTGCAAGAGGCAGAAATACTTAAGATTTGCCTCTCAAATTTTGGAGCCAATGATCATTGACTGGATTTAATCAACCACCAGTTCATGGTCATGGTTAAGCTCATCTGTGTACCATGACGCAATAGTTTACCCTAACAGTCTTCCCTAATATACTCAGTGTCTGGAACACTTCATCCTTTCACAGAGCCAGAGAGTCATAGGCCAAAAATAGTCTCTTACATTTCTAATTTCGTAAGACAAGGGAAGAATTTATCTTTATTTAACAATCAACAGGCCATAAGTTTGATATTAACTGTATGCTCTTGTTTAAATGGCCCAACTCAGAATGCTGTATGGTGCTCACTACCAGCATCTCACACTTCAATTTAGATTCCTATTTGACCTCTAATTCAAAGAACTTTAGAGGTTTGACAAAATGAATGTTCTTCTATTCATCTGGTTTGAGACCACAGTGATTAGACAGTGAATCAAAGGCAAAAAGTGGCTCCTTCGTCTGCCCTCATGCTGAAGCCCACACAAGCATGAGAATCTGGAGTTATTTTTAAGAGTTCCTCACAAGAGGAGGCCCTGACTCTCTCTCTCAAAAAAAAAAAAAAAGAAGAGAAAAGAAAAGAAAAAACCCAAACATGTTAGTGTCTAAGCAAGCTGATGCTTAGAAACTCTTTTTTTGTCGTTCTCAGTGGAGTTAGAGTTAAGCCAGTCACTGCCTTTGTATAATGAACTTTTCTATTCTTGAAGGTAATTACTAAGCTGCTTCTCATTTTTAATAGTCAGTGAAAATAATCCCACTTCATTTGGTCTCTTTTTGGAGATCCTAATCTGCATCTTTTGGATTAGAAGAAGAGCTGCTGTCCAAATTTCCCCAAGTATAGTCTGAAACTGGACAACTCTCCAGTGAAGAAGCCTCAGTTTGTCCTTTTCCTCTCTCCAGGCTTTTGCTCACACTGGAATGCATGATGTCTGATTTCCATATCTCCCATTGTGGCCTATTCAAATGTCTTTCAAAATTAAAAGTGAAAAAAAAGTTCAGTATCTTTTTATCTTAAAACAAGTTACATAAATGATAACAGATCTATTAAGCCTAGGATGGAAGCCATATAAAGCCTTCCTTGAAGCTTTGCCCAGCCTAAGTCTCATCTCATCTATGAAGCGCCTACTTCCCCCCACCCCCCACCCCAATCATGTCTTGGCAGCATCTTATTGTCCTCTGAACTGCAAGTGCTCATTGTCTATACCACAATTAATCACACACTTCTTTCTGACATTTCATTTGGCTGTTTTATAGTTTATCTCCCCTCAACATGATTATAGTTAATCTCCCCTCAACATGTGTTTCACATAGCACCTACCTATATATACTCTAGTGACTTGGTAAATCTATCATTGATCAAGTGAATGATTATCAAAGTTTGGATAGTGTTCAGTATAAATAATTTTTCATATTTTCATAAGTTTTCTGATACTATCTATATCTTAAAAGCTCATGTTTTTCTCTATCTTCTCCTCCCTATGAATTGAAGGCTCTCTAGGAAGACTGTATGATTTCCCATTGTTTTATATACATGAGCAATTTATACTTTTTATGAGAATGACCTAGACTAAAGTAAGGGGAAAGGTTTGAGTCACTGCTGGAACCCATCTTTGCCATTTCTCCAACTGTTCAAAATTTTTTACCTCTTATTTTCAAACGGTTTCTACTCAAAATTTCTGCTTTCATTTAACCACCCCAGGGCCTAAGTTCCACATTTGCAAAATGGGGAGAGTGAACACAATGGCCTCTCAGATTCTGTTTGGCTCTAAATCTACAACCTTAGAACCTGTGACTTGGAACATTTTACATCAACAGATTAAACAGATTACAACACACCATTCCTTGATGAAATGCCCGGGGTTCTGCATCCCTACATCAGAATCTCAAAACAACTCCTCCCATACCTCTCGAAGTTGCTCCACAAGTTCTTTCTCTTCTCTCATTTGTTCCATCTTCCTCCTAATCGTAAACTGAGGATCTATGGATTCCAAATTCCTCTGTGGTCTCAAGAACACTAGAACAGAAAGAAAATAAACCTTTTACAAAGGGCTTTTTACGTGTTGCTTTCAATAGGTCTTCAATTGCCACAGAAGACAAAATTCTTTATTTACTATCAAAGCCACAACCTCCCCAACGTAAAAGCTCAGGTTTTCTTCTACCATCTCCTCCCTATGGATTGGAGCCTAAGATGACTATATGATTTCTGGCTGTTTTACATACGTGAACAATCTATATGTCTTGTGAGAATGACCTAGAGAAAAGGCAAAGGTTTGGGTCACTGCTGGAACCCATCTTTTCCATTTGTTTTTCTTTCCCCTCTCATTTTCACATGCCTTTCATTTGCATTTGTATTTGATCAATAAGTTGTTTTAAGTAAAAAGACATTGACATTTATTTTTTAGACTTAAAAATAAGCATAAACTAATGTTTTCTTTGACTCAGACCTCTTGATTAAGAGCTTTGAGATAACATGCAGTATTTCAAAAAAATTTATTGAGAAAGAATCCTGCCTTTTTGAGTGCTAATGACTATATGAAAGACTCCCTTCCTTTGGTGAAGAGCACACCTATACTTTCAAAACTGAGGTGACTCTGGTATAATAATCAGTTTCAAATATGATGGGAGGAGAACAGGATTGGAAAGAAGTACCATCTTTTTTACTGTTATTACTAAAACTTAAATACACAATAAGAAAAGAAAAAGCAACATATTATAAACTTAAATATTGAAACTCAAGTGCAAAATAAGAAAAGAAAAAAAACATGTTGTGTACAGCAGAACTTAAGAGAGGATTCAAAATATGTAGCAATAAATTTCTATTTCAAGAATGCCTATATAATAAATACTACATGTTGTGTTGAGAGCTGTCCATCTTTGCTTCCCTGAAGAAGTACCATCTTATGGAAACTTTTTATTAACAAACAAATGTTTCCAAAGAGAAAGTGTGGAGTCTATGCTAGGCAAGTAACCATGACTTACCCTGTTCTATCATGACAATTTTAATTTTCCTTTAGTACCCTAGCAAACAACTCACTCTCTGTGTTGACAACTCTTTCCCACCTCAATGTCTTTCCTTTCAATAAATTCTAAATCATCTGTGTCAGCATTCTCATGTTTGCCAGAAAGAGTCCCTGCCTCACTGATTTGAATCTTGACCATGTGACCCATGTCAGTGAAAAGACTGATAACTCTGGAGTCAGAAGATCCACGCTATTCCAGTAACCACTCAACCCTTGACTCCTGTGCATGGGAGGGTAAAGTCTCTCAGCCTCTCTAAACTTTGGTATTCTAATAGATAGAAAATATATTTTGTACAACCTACCTCACAGGGCTTTTGTGTGGATTGAATGAAATAATACAAATAAAAGTACTTCTGAAACTGTGAAGTGTTATTTAAATGTAAGTGTTTATTTTAATTATTATTCTCACTCACAGGATGACCCCATGTAAACAATTATAGTTAAGAATGAAGAAATGGGGAGGTAAAAGCAAATGACTCATCTAGGGTCACTGAATCTCAAAAATAAGCCAAACACTGGTTCAAACTTCATTAGGAAGTCAGCAACATTTCTAAATGAATAAATATATTGACCTAAGTAAAGAAGCTTAAGATGAAAAGTAGCCTCTTTATTTTTAATATCAACTGAAGTCAACTTTTTATAATCACTAATGAATTATAATTTAAGAATGTTTAAAGTGTTTCGGGATTTTAAATCAATCAATTACATTTAAATTGAATTTAGTTATATGAAAGTTTGTGGATGTTTTAAATATAAAGTAGAACATCAATTATTCTTTGCCTAAATAATCATAATCCTTAAAAATCCAGAATTATAGTAAACCAACAAATTACAGGGCAAATCAAAACTATGTAGGGCCAAAGACAAATCAAAGAAATTCAGTTATTAGTCACCAAAATGGCTATGAAATTAGAAAAGCCAAACGCCAGAGATGCTATAACCTGCAAGAGCAGCAAGCTGACATTAAGAGTAGCAGTGAAAGAAAGCAGAGTCTGAGGAAAAGCTAGGCTGGCACAAGAAAAAAAGATATTGGTGGGCAGGAGGAAACTGATGCATATTTTGAGAAATTCTAGGAGATGAAAAGAAAAAATAGAAATGCAATCTAATTCTAAGCAAATTAGAAATATCCTCTTCCCTAGTCTTGTTGGTACTGGTTAACGAAAGTTTTACTGTAACTACATTTAAAATAGGAAACCCTTTTGATAGATGCTGTACTGTCAATGTCAAAAAGTGCATCGAATTTAGTAAACTTTCAAATACTGACCCACCCAAATAATAGTAAGAAACAAAAGGTGCTGCTTAGGAGATACAGAAGTTTAAATGAACTAGTTGGCTATATTCCTTGGGGCAACTGTCTAACCAAAGGAAGAATCCTCCTTAAGGAAACAAAATACATGTTAAATTAAACAAATTCACTGGAAAAGGAAATTTACCCACTTTAAACCAAAAGGCCGTTTAAAAAGTTAGGCATTACTCAACTTGGCCACACGGGAGCGCTGCAGCAATACTGTTTAAATGTAAATTCCTTAGCTTTTTTGGTAGGGTAATACTATTAGTCTGAGAGATTTTTTATTGGGAATTTGTACACTACACAAGTAGCATCAATGAATTTGAATGAACTCTGTTCTTTTGTATAACTCAAAAGGAACAATTAAAATGATTATTTAGTTGTTTCAGTCACGTCTAATTCTTTATGACTCCATTTGGGGTTTTCTTGGTAAAGACACTGGAGTGGTTTGCAATTTCCTTCTCTAACTCACTTTACAAATGAGGAAACTGAGGCAAACAGCACTAAGTGGCATGTCCAGGGTTACAGACAGACACACACAAACATGCATGCGTGCACGTGCGTGCACACACACACACACAATTAAAGACTCAGGCCTTATTAGGAGAATATGTGAGATATGAAATTAATGGCAAGGCAGTTAAGCTAATAATAATATTATTAATTATAATGACCACAACAATAATAGCCCATATCTATATTGTGCATTCTATGTGCCAGGTGCTTTACAAATTCTATTTCATTTGATCCTTAGAACAGCATGGGGGCTATTATTATCCTCATTTTACAGCTGAGGAAACTGAGGCAAAAAGGATAAGTGGTTTGCCCAAACTCATACAGCTAGTTAGAGACTGAGGCTAGATTTGAACTCAGGCCTTTCTGACTGTATGCCCACTGCTCTATCTACTGTGCTGCTTAGCTGCCTAAGCATTTAGCTTTGATTTGTAAGCATTATTTTTCAACATCTTTCCTTCATAATGATCCCATGTGCCTGTTTGAAAATTAAATCCCTGGATGCATATGACTATTTACTTGTTATATGGAGATTATGCCATCAAAAGATGTTCTGTGATTTTTCCAAAAAAAAAAAATTAGGGCTAGCATTTATGTAGCATTTTAAAGTTTGCAAAACATGTTACATGTTATCTCAAGATCCCTAGAACAATTTTATGAGTTTGATGCTATCCTCATTTTATAGATGAGGTAACTGAAGCTTAGAGAGATTAAGTTCATTTCCCAGGGTAGAGACAGCTTGTGTTTTGAGGCAGGCTTCTAACTCAGGTCTTTGTGACTCCACGCCCAACACTCTCCTCAAATACTCATAAGATTAGTAAAATTATGAGTGTAATAAAAGCTTTAGATGCATATTTTATTACTGTTATAATTGAGAATAGAGAGATAGTAGCTTTGAGCTAATAATGTTCACTTTCACATCTCATTTATAACATACCCAGCATGGAAGGGCTTTAGATAATCATGCTACAATTTGCATACTTGACTCCCTTTCATTTTGTCATGACATCAGAATTATGTTGGTAACCTGAGGACAGCTCTGATCACACTGCTTAGTATTTTTCTTTCAAATTATATTTAACAGTAAATAAAGAGCCCAAGTTTTCTTGAAAGCTTCAGAAAATGAGACTATGTAAGCCCTATTCTTTGCACATTTTAAGAACTTCATCAGGTCTTGGCATTATCTTTGATTCTCCCTTCTCACAGCCTGCCCAGCCAATCAGTTGCTGAATCTCATTTCACATTTCACCCCTTCTCACTCACCAGGGCCACCATCTTAGATCAGACCCTTATTACCTTTCCCCTGAACCACTGAAATAGCTTCCTAATTGTTCTCCCTGTCTAGGCTCTCTCCTCTCTCTGATCTATCCTCTACAAAGCTGCCAACCTGATTCCCTTAAGTACTCAATAAACTCCAGGGGATCCCCAGTGTCTCCAGGATAAAATATAAATGCCTCTGCTTGGCATACAAAGTCCTCCACAACCTATTTTACTAGCCTTATTATACATCACATTCTTCCACATACCTTACATGGTACAGCCAAAATGACCTCTTGCTGTTCCTTGCACATATCTCATCCTCCCCTCTCTCTCCTGGACAATTCCCAAAGTACAGCGGGAAGACAGTATTTCTGTGCACGGTGACATGTTTTCATCTCTCCAACTTGCACTGGCTATTCCTTCATACTTGGAATGTACTTCCTCTTCATCTTTATCTCTTGGAATCTCTTACTTCATCCAAGACACAATTCAACTATGAAAGATTCCTCCCTTAGGGAAGAGCATACCAACAGCTGGGCAGCTAGATGGCACAGTGGATGGAATGCTGGGCCTAGAGTCAGGAAGACCTGAGTTCAAATCCAGTCTCAGACACCTATTAGCTGTGTGACCATGGGCAAGTCACTTAACCCTTTTTGCCTCAGTTTCCTCATCTGTAAAATGAGCTAGAGAAGGAAATGGCAAGCCACTTCAGTATCTTCGCCAAGAAAACCCCTAAAAGGGTCACAAAGAGTTAGACGTGACTGAAACAACTAAACAACAACAACCACCACAAATACCAACACTCTACAAAATACAATAAAACTAACTGAAGTGTAAGAATAGTTTTAAATATGATAGATACCTTTCACGATCCCCCCTTGCTGCTAGTGCCCTCTCTCCCCAAAATGCCTTGTAATGACTTTGGATGTTACT